TATATATATATATATATATATATATATATATATATATAATCTATGATGAAAATAAGGAGTTATTCCTGCACACGACTGTTTTTAAATGAACTCTGTTTAAAAGTAAATAACGCCAGTATTTATGTGTGCTTGGGTGGGTGTGGATGTGTGTTTATGTGGGGGGGGATGTGGGTGGGTGCATTTATGTGGGTGTGTATGTAGCTGGGAGTGTGGGTATGTGTGTGGGGTTTGTGCGTGGGTGTGTTTATGTGGATGTATATGTAGGTGGGTGTGTGGGTATGAGTGTGGGGTAGTGAGGAGCAGGGTGGTAGTGAGGAGTGTGACTATGTGTGTGGGTATGCGTGTCTGGGTGTGTGTGTGTGTGGGTGGCTGGGTGGGTATGTGTGTGTATGTGGGTGGGTGTATGTGTGTGTAAGTGGGGTTTGTGGGTGGGTGTGTTTATGTGGATGTGGGTGGGTATGTGGGTATGTGTGTGGGGTGGCTGTGTGGGTATGTGTGTGGGTATGCGTTTCTGTGGTTGTGTGTGGGGGTTGTGAGTTCATACTTCAAATTATAAATTTGACAGCCAATATTTGCACAACTGGTTGATGGCTTAACCACTAAAGACCAACACCTCCCATGTGAAGTTAATGTAACGTTGGTACAAGCTAGAGGAATAAAGAAGAAATATCTGGGCATGGAGTTAAGATATTTCCGTGACTATTAGCACAGGGTTATAGTTTTTACCTGTTACAAAGTGGGGCGAGTATACACCTGATTGTAAACAGAGACTTGATATTACACAAGACTTCATAGTACACAAGACTTCATAGTACACAATACTTTATAGTACACAAGCCATTTTAAATTGATTTTACACAAGACTTGATATTACGCAAGACCTGAAATTACACAAGACTTGATATTACACAAGACTTGATATCAAACAAGACTTAAATGTACAACATAATTGATTGTACACAAGACTTTATATTACACAAGACTTGATATTACACAAGACTTGATATCAAACAAGACTTAAGTGTAATTAATAATTGATTGCACACAAGACTTGGTATTACACAAGACATGATATTACACAAGACTTGATAGTACACAAGACTTGATATTACACAATACTTGACAGTACACAAGACGTGATATTACACAAGACTTGATATCAAACAAGACTTGCTATTACACAAGATTTGCTATTACAAGAGTGTCGAAGTTTAAAGGTGTGATTCAAGATCAAAACTGTGATACGGATTCAAAGCTAATTATAGAAAAAGGGAGGTAATGGCGGCACACCATCAACACGTTAGAAGATAATGGGCCCTTTAAATGAATTCGGCCACAGCCGTAAACACAATTTGATCCTAAAGAGATTTCACCAGCAGATAAATGTCAGATTTCTTGGTGAGATGTGAGATCAGGGTGGTATTTAGGAGCAGGATGGTAAGGAGGAGCAGGGTGGTAGTGAGAAGGAGGATGGTAGGGAGGAGCAGGGGGTGGTAGTGAAGAGCAGTGTTGTAGGGAGGAGCAGGGTGGTAGTGAGGAGCAGGGTGATAGTGAGGAGCAGGGTGGTAGTGAGGAGCAGGGTGGTAGTGAGGATCAGGGTGGTAGTGAGGAGCAGGGTGGTAATGAGGAGCAGGATGGTAGTGAGGAGCAGGGTGGTAGTGAGGATCATGATGGTAGTGAGGAGCAGGGTGGTAGTGAGGAGCAGGATGGTAGTGAGGAGCAGGGTGGTAGTGAGAAGCAAGATGGTAGTGAGGAGCAGGGTGGTAGTGAGGAGCAGGGTGGTAGTGAGGAGCAGGGTGGTAGTAAGCAGGGTGGTAGTGAGGAGCAGGGTGGTAGTAAGCAGGGTGGTAGTGAGGAGCTGTGAGGAGGAGGGTGGTGGTGAGGAGCAGGGTGGTAGTGAGGAGCAGGGTGGTAGTAAGCAGGGTGGTAGTGAGGAGCAGGGTGGTAGTAAGCAGGGTGGTAGTGAGGAGCAGGGTGGTAGTAAGCAGGGGGGTAGTGAGGAGCAGGGTGGTAGTGAGGAGCAGGGAAGACTGTGAGACCAACTAGACACTCAGTGGAGTCATGGCAACTAGATACTCAGTGGAGTCATAGCAACTAGACACTCAGTGGATTCATGGAAACTACACACTCAGTGGATTCATGGAAACTAGATACTCAGTGGAGTCATGGCAACAGAACTCAGAATGCAGACTCATTTTTAGAGAAAAGAAACACGACCACATTCAACCACGCATGCAGCAACTCCACTGGCTTCCAATATCCTCTCGCATCAAGTACAAGTCTGCCAATCTATGCTTCAACTCGTTCACTGACCCTCACTTTCCTGTATATCTCTCTGAACTGTTGCTTCCTTACATCCCCACAAGAAAACTACGCTCTTCAATTGACAATAGAACCCTCTCGATCCCAAGAACCAAAACAAAGACCATCGGTGAACGTTCCTTCTCCTTCAACGCGCATACGTTCTGGAACCAGCTCCCTTTCCACATCAGTCATTGTGAAACCTCGTCCACTTTCAAAAAGTCCCTTAAAACCCATCTGTTTAGGTCCGCCTATGACCTGTGATGCACACTCCCTGCCCTGCCTCGTTCTCGGGTTTATTTTGTATCTAGGTTTTTTTCATTTTTTTTTCATTGTATATGCCACAATGTCCTTTGTTTTTATTGCTATTTTTAATGTTTTTAGCTAGTGTTTTTATAGTCAATTTTAACTTTGTAGTCTTTCTTGTTTTCATTTTTATTTTACTTTAGCAGTTTAAATAGTTTAATTTTTTTTTTTAAATTGTAAAGCGCTTAGAGCTGTAAGGTTAGCGCTATATAAAAATGCTTTAATAAATAAATAAATAAACTAGACACTCAGTGGAGTCATGGCAACTAGATACTTGGTGGAGTCGTGGAGAAGATCTGAGGAGTGATAGTCTGTGTCTGAACTTTGCAGCATCAATAACAAAAACACACACACACAAAGCAGCGTTAAAAAAGACCCCCCTCTCCCCACAATCCCCGTCAAGCAAATTCAGCCCATAATATCTCACTGTCAAGTAAATACAGCCCATAATATCTCACTGTCAAGTAAATACAGCCCATAATATCTCACTGTCAAGTAAATACAGCCCATAATATCTCACTGTCAAGTAAATACAGCCCATAATATCTCACTGTCAAGTAAATACAGCCCAT